CTTCTCACAGACTGCTGTAGGTGACTATGGAGAAATGTTAGGCTAGGCACTAACAGCATACAAATAATGCAAGCCCTGCAGGGAACCAAGCTGCAAAGTGGGCTCTGAGTGCATAATATGTGCATAAGATAGCCTTCTCAACCATGTTCAAGCTATAGCCCAAACATCAGCCTGTAAATGGGGCTGTAAATGGCAGCAAGGACACAAGACTGCTTTTGGCAGGACACAAATCATTTCCTTCTTTCAAACCCACACCAGCCCTGCTGATGGATGCACTACCCAGGTCCCCTTAGAGGGAAACAATAGTAGCATCCTTTTTGGTTTTCTTTACAGGTAAGAAAAGTCCTCAGTTAGAATTGCTGCTTTCTCTCTGGCAGGGGAAGTGTTTCTGCTTTGGGCTCCAGAACTGCTGTAGAGAGTTTAATTCCCAAATGAGGTATTTTAAGGCCAAAGTCTCATTTTGTTTACGCACGCAGGGATCAGTGATGAGCCTTGAGAAGGTCAATGCAAACTTTAGCCAATGAGTTTGGGTTAATTTTCTTAAAAAAGGATCCATTTTGTATTTATTCTTACATTCCCAGTGTATTTTGGAGTCAGGCTGCACACACCCAGTTTTAAGCTGCTTGGGACCCCCATGGTGTTAGCTGCTCTCTCAGCCCTTTGGGGTAGTTTGTGTGCTGACCTTCATAGCCACTGCAGCTGCACTTTGGGGAATATTTGGGACTTTTTGAAAATGACAGCACTTTCAGAATAGTTTTCTTTTTAAATTGCTTCAGATCTAGCTGTTTTCTGCTCCTCCAAGACACAAATGGATGTCTGAGACACCAGGGCCTGAGCAAATAAACTCTTTCGTGTAAATGACTTTCACACCATGTTGGGCCATGCCCAGCTCCAGGAAGGCTGTTAACCTGCCCTGCATGACTGGTTTCACCACTGCACACAATTTGGGCTGCGTCCATGCTCATAGCCACCTGGGCAGCAGCAAACCTGGGCTCTGAAGCTGGCACTGGTCAGGAGCAGGATACACTCACTCACTGGCTCTTCATGGCAGTAATTAATTTTTATAAATAAGGGCAAGGGAAAGGCTGTTAGAAACAGATTGATTAGAATTGGCTTTTAATTAAAATTTTCAAACCATAATTTAAACTTTAAAAATCCTATTACTTATCTGTGCAATTTCACAGGCACTGAGGCAGTGGGCAATAATGTAACTAATGATCTGATTGTCACTGGCTTGTATAATGAAGCATGGCTGGGGGCTGACCAGATTATGACATCAATCAAACCCCTTTGCAGCTTTCCCTCCTACCACTGAGCTCCCTGCAGGGCTGTGTTTGCCTGCACCAGCTACCTCCCAGCTGTAACCTTTATTTTCTCTCCCCAGAGCTCCTATGAGGGGGCAAAAGGCAGGCTGTGGGTGATGATCCTCTGGTCATTGTTATGATACTTCAAAGATTATTTTTCTGGGAGGTGGCTGGTTAGTAGCTTTAACTTGCCAGTAAATCATATTTATCATACCAGAGTTACCACCCTAAGAAGGGTCCAGAAACAGGGTCCTGCCACCCCAGCTCTGGCACGAAATGGACAACAAGGTGTTGTCTGGATTAATGGAAGGGTGATGGCCATCGACATGCTGTGGCATAGCTGAGCTCCTAGAAGAGAAAGCTTGGTTTCAAAATTCCTTGGGAGCTTTCAAGAGGCTGAATTGAAATGAAGATTTTCGTTGGCTGTGCTCAAGGCTTGAGCCCTGCAATGGTGCCTGAGTGGGGTTTTCGTGAACTGGAGCAGTGTGCAAGTATTATGCTCCAGAACCTGCCTCACAGCTAGGGTTTGTATGCAGTGAGACAGAGGGTCTCCAACAGCACATCCTGTCCTGCTGCATGGCTGCCCCACAGCTCCAGACTTGCCACAGGCACCAGCATTGCTTTTGGGCCACCTTAAAACACCAGGCTCAAATGTACCAACACAAGACCAGCTTCTTGAACAGCTCAAATGTCTGCACACTGGGGAAAGACAGCTCGTCTGGAAAAGTTCATGTCATCACTCACTCTGATCACTGGGTTTCCCCTCAGGTTAACTGTGAATGAATTTGGCATTGTCTGATTTAGCCACTATGAGATCAAAAATAGTAGGAGCTTAGAAAATACATCAGCCCATTAAGCCCCGTTGCCCAAACTGCCTTAGAAAGGCATACTGACTTGCTCTTGTGAACAGACACGTCTAAGTAGACAGCCCCAAGCCCAGCTGTAATGCACCCGTTCCCTGTGCTTAGAAACATAAACCCAAGCTTTAAAAGAAAGTCCCAAAGTGATTGCAGAGTCCTCAGGAAATAATTTGGTAAATTAATGGAAGTGGATATGATTACAGAGATACAATGACTCCCTTGCTCCAATTACTGCATTAGCTTAAAGATCTCAGGCAAATCGTTTTCTGCGATATGCCTGCTCCACAATAGGCCTCAAATACCAGCCATGAAAAAAAGAATGGCAATTAATTTGTCATCAAAGATCAATAGCAAAGAACATGTTTTAACCTATTCAAATGTATTTATTAAAGATGGGATTTTTTTCTTTAAATCATTACAATTGATAAGGATAAAGAACTGTTGCCTCATCATAGAAAGTGGTCGGTTGCAGATGCATTTTGAACTACTTTCCTCTGCTGGCTCAGTACAACAGCCTTGGGAACAGGTAAAAGACTATTGTGGCCTCACACTCTGTCTCCTCCAGCATGTTTTAACACAGGAGTGATAAGGTTTAAGCCTTCTGTGACTGAAGCAACTGGCTGCAGCACCTGTCTCACAGCTAGCCCACATCCTTAATGAGCTGCATCTCGCTGGTGCTGGAAAAGGCAAGACAGGTTCTTGAGAAACCAGGAAAATCTGGCTCCTGGCTCAGCCCACTCTGGAGCATCGTGACTGGAGCCATCTCATGATCCCTGGAGGAAGAGCTCAGCCCTGGGAGTCAGGGCAGTGGGGAACTAGTCCTGCACCAGGCCAGGGTGTGGCTGGGCCCTTACTCCAATGCCAGCTGACAAAAGCACTGCTCTGCAGTACCCTCCAGTTTGGCACCTGGGCCACCACAAAGCTCAGTACAACCCATTTGGTCTGGGGTGGGAAGGGGGGTGGCACCTCTGGGCAGCCAGGAACTACCTGTATTCTCACTTTTAGTGTAAAGGAGACAAGCTTTTTTGATTCTATTTGGTTCCCCCTTGAGGAGTTTTCAGTTAGAAAAGCCTCTTACCACAACCTCCAGCGTTGCAATTCACTTGCTCAGCAATATATTTTTCTCAACCAGAACATGACAAAGGTTTCCTTTTGCCTTCCTCCAGGCAAATGCTTTCACAGATGTATACACCAGTAAATCAGTCTTCTTTTCTATTAATACCTCCAGGTCGCATTCTTCAGGGGAGCTGCCAAACTGCTCATGAAAGAGCCATGAAGCATTAGGTGAACCTATCAGGTTCCTCACAAACCAAGCAGGCTTCAACTCCAGGACTTGAGGCATGCCTTTACCTCTATGGAATTCACACCTGTACACCAAGAAAAGAAAAAGAAAAGCAACAGCTGCCCCCAAAAGGGGGCTTAACTCACACTAAGTAGGAAGAGAAATATGCATGTACCAAAGTGTAATTAAACATCATTGGTAACAGTATATGCTTTCCCTTGCCACTTGGCCGTTCTCCAAGTATACTGAACCCATTCATTTACCAAACAAACGACCCAGGGCTGTTAGCACATCCTGCAGTTGCTTAATTTACATAATGTAGGCTATCTGCTGCAGATATAGCTGTTGCAAGTTGTCCTCATTCAAGACGCTATGGTGTTACGTGCAGTGCTCGTGCTCAACATTTCACTTTTATCCACATTTGGAGTTGTATTTTGTTTGTGGCATAAAGGCAACAGAACATTTTCTACCACTACTATTGTTAGCAGTGCTTTAATCATGATACTTTGAAACCTAAACCTGACTTTGGGCAGTTCACAAAAGGTCACCCTTAGAAATCTTACGGAAAGTTGGCATGTGTGCAACCCTTTATATACATTTATGCAGGGCACAGAATGTTTTTAATTGCGTTAGAAGCCCATCTTTCAATGTTCAGTCACAAGCCTGGAGAAATGCAAGTGATCTCTACCATATATAATGCATTAGCTAATTGGAATGAACTTCCCTGTGTCTTTGAAAAGACTACATAGTGTCAACTTTTGTGGCTCTGCATGATGCAGTACAGATGGGGACAAGGGGAACACCACTCCACACGCAAAGCTCCTTCAGCACTCAATGCTTCAAACGAGCTCTATCTGCACTCTCTCACAAGGAGCTGTCAGAAGAAACCATCCTGGGGTGACCCCACTTCACTTGGCACTTGTGAAGACTCCTGTCACATTGATTACAACCCCTAACCTCTGACTTTTCCTCAGACTGCACTAATTTGACATGGAAGGGAAATCAATTTTGCTTGGTTGTGTTGGACTATAGTGACCTGCAGCACTTCATGCAACAGGGATTTCTGACTGTCTTAACTACTGCTCAGTCTGACCAGCCATCCACCCGTGCTAACTGAAAATCAATAATTAAAAACACATGTCCTTTCTGCTCACCACTTTTTTTTTCTGGTACCAGGCCCACTGCTGGTTTCAATTCACCACCCAATTTTATTTCTTGCCCTGTGTGACTGGCTTTGGGGCTACCATGTTATTCCAAAACTGACGAATTTTTCATCAACTTTGCTTTCATAACACTTCTACTTATTATGCTGTGCCAAACTAGTCTTTTAAAAACTCCTACCTGCAACATCTTTAATCAGCAACCAACTCCCTATAAAAGCATCAGGGACAAGGACCTCTGCTCTAAAACCCTTTCATTACACTGAAACAGTAGTTTTGCTTCCAAGACTTTTTGGAACTCTTTCATGATTACTTTCTTGTCTCCTGCCCTTAGTCCAGCTTTGGTCATTTCTGTCACATGCCAGCTATTGGACAAATGAGAAACACGAAGAAATCAGTTTTGTAACAAAATTTATTTTTGCTCTGTGGATACAAATCCCAAACATCAACAAACAATTTCCAGTGGAAAAATACCAGTCATTAACAATGAAAACTTTTATTATTATTTAATAAATAGAACTTTGGCATTCAAAATTCTAGCTGTAAACCCTACTTTAAAAAAAATTACAAAAAGAGGCAAGAACAACAAGCCTAAAGCTAAGCCAGCCAGTGGCTCCTTTACTTTTTACAATGAACACATTGTGATTAAGTCATGACAACTCTATTTACATATTGAGGTATTCTGAGCGGTTCACAAATTGAACCCAATTTACAAAACTACCAGTCTTCAGGGACTGATCCAATACATATGTCAGCTGTGCTTTTAAAAGATAGCTCCAGATGCTCCTCCCCACTGAACTAATGACATACTGCAATTTATATACGCAAAATGAACACATTATGGTTGGAGTTTCCTGCTCACGCTGCATACTGTAACCAGCCTAACATTTAAAGTGTACACCTAGTACCCAGTTTAAGTACTTCTGTTTCTAGACATCATGCAAGAGTTCTGACTACAAAAGCTTATGAACAAAATATCGGCAAGTAAGAAGAAAACAAGGTGCAGTCATCAGCATCCTAATAACTTCTCTAAAGTTCAAGGGGAGTATACACTTCAGGCAAAAAAAGGCACAAAGGTATGCAGCTGTGGAATTAATATTGCTAATAAGCTATGAGAAGACGTCATCCCTTTAGACAACAACCACTGATTTGTCTGCAGTCTAAGAATGCAGATTAGCTCAGATGATGTTTTTCCCACTCATGACAGAACTTCTGGGATAAATGAGAAGAGCCCAATTATAGTTCCAGCTCCACCTGCGTAACATCACTGATAAGGACGAGGAAAACTGGAGCAAATTATGCCCCTGCAGAGAGACTGCAGCTTGCCGTTGCTGCCTGTGCTAGGACAGCAGGTCACAGAGGAAGGGGTTTGCTTCTTTTCCTTGTGCTCTTATCGTGCAAGGGAAACGTCATCCCTCCCCTGCCTCCATTTCAAATGAAAGGTGGGCAACAAAGGCAAAGGAAGGAAACCTTTGTAAGTGAAATGGGCAAAATTTCAGCTCTTGTAATGACTTCATGGCCACCAGCAGTTTCAAATGCTGGAGCCCAAGTGCATGGCTACAGCAATCTCCACAATTTCACACAACTATCACACTACGAAGCTGCAGAGCAGGGGCGAGCAACCTAAATCATATTTACACAACTGAGCCGTGTTACTTCTATACTATAAATACATAGCATCACCTATAGCTTGTCCGAAGACAGTTACTTTCCAAGTCTTTTTCAAAATACATTCTTGAATACAGTAGTTACTGTAAATATCTTTTAAAGGATTGTATAAATTCAATCTGAAACTATACAGAACATTACTGTACACATTTGCTGACAGCCAAAACAGCACAGTATCCATTCATGAGCAGTTGGTTTTCAGCCCTTGAGATTGTCTAATAGCTACAGCAAGAAGTTGTCATGACTAAATCTAAGCAATTCCAATGTTAACATTCGTTAATCAACTCTGTATTAAATACGCTGAATGAGACCACACACACTACATTTTAACCAATTAAACAACCATGCATATCTTAGACAAAGCTTATTCCATTTAGAGGCATCCATAAACTGATGCAGATATAATAATTGCTACTACTACAACAGGCCAAATTTTAAGAAATCAAAGGAAAATAGTGGATCACTGTAGACAGTCAACTGGTAGTCTGCATCTTTGGCTCATACATCCATCCTTTCGCTCCCTACTTTTATTTGACTGAGGCAGATAAACTCAGGGTTTTTTAAAATTAAGTGCTCTAAAGTCAACATAAAAATTACAGGGTTCATAATAAAAATATGACAGTGCAAGACTAGAGCACTGTAATAAAAGTATTACAACTAAAATGGGTCCTCCTTTCTGAGGGACTTTCCAACTAATACTTGAAGAGCATAAAAGTTCCTGAAGTGCTTTGCAAATCTAAAATTAGTGATCTCAACTCTGCAGTACAGTATCACCATGTAAGTGGAGGGACAGTAGAGGCACACCAGCCAAGGTACCAGCTTAAAAGTTCAAAGGGACTCGAAGAAATCTTGTGCTCCTCCCTAACTGCTCTGTTAAACTCATTATTTCCACCAAATTTAGAAAAATATGGTGCTTGTTAATTTTTATAGGTACAGCATTTCCATGTAAGGAAACAATAACATGCAACTTGGGTGTTGCCTCTCTCCCTAGCACTTATAATTTATTCTCTGTAATGCTATTGTTGAATTCTGATATGAGACAGGTACCATGAACTGGAGACTACTATGTCACTGCAGGGCCACCACCACCAATGAACTACACCTAAGGAACGAGCCGAGGCCCAACTCACAAAAGCCGGTACTGTTAGAGGCACAGGAAACTGTGCAAGCCCATTTGTGCAAAGAAAGATCCTTGTTTTCAGTTTTGCAGTAGTATAAAAGCACACCTTGAAACCTACAGAAAGAGCACAGAAATTTAAAATAAGATGGCCTGGGTTTCTTTTACCTTGAAGTAGACACACTAGGCAATTTCACTTGAGATTTCATCTAGATGCTGTTTTACTGCTCACAGGAGCTGAACCAGTCACATTAATCTAGCTGAAAATACCATGTAGCAATAACATAAATAACAACACTTTTTTTTTTTTTCCACAAATTAGTCCATGTTTCAGGATAGAGAAAACTGTCAAATAAATAAGTCCATATAGCTAAAAAATCAAATCACTAAATTATAAAAAAACCATTAACTGTTCATCGATGAAAAGCAAGCAAAACATCACCAAGTTAAAACTGGTAGCCGGTCTACACTGCTATGCCTTTTTTTTTTCCTGTTAACACAAATATAATCAGAAAACTGAAGATATTAACACTTTTGCCGTAAAAATCTTGCCCTAGAATTTTCTTTGTTCTAATTGCTAAGCTTTCTAAGAGATTTCTGCCATTATCCACACTATGGGTCAGTTGACTGACTTGAACCTTAGCCATTTGAAACTTTCTTTTAATACCACATCTGTAGCTGATGCTCACACACAGTGTGATCTGAGAGTGGTTTTGCTCTTTGCAGGTATCTGTTTCCTTCAGTTAAATACTATTTTACAGCATGCATAACTTTGCAGCTAACTTGCAGCAATGTTCCAGGAAATCAGAAGCCTTAATGTCATCTGTCTCAGAGGAGTGAAACAGCACTGCCAAGTGACACTCACTGAATAAACTATGGAACATGATCTTAATTTTTTAAATATAATTGCTTCCTACATAAATGGAGAAATAAAGAATTCCCAGACAATGTGGAAAATTTTGCAGTCCTCAGATAACCGAATACTTAATACTGCTAAGTGGGAACATTCTGTCTTGAGCCCTAATTTTGCCATGTGCCAAACATTTGTTTTGTAGCTGTGGTAAAAAAACAGTTTGAGGTGGTTCATAACCACCTCAGAGGCCTTCAGGGATGGAACACATACCACCCACATTTTAAAAGTGAGATGACCTAAGGGAAAAATAAGCATGGTACAAACACCACAAAGTACAGTGGGCTTTTTCCCCAGCAGCCACGTACTATGCTGTATTTTCATGCCTTCCAGCTTCTCTGGGTTTGCCACAGACTTCACATTATCAAAACTTCTTACAGCAATGTGAAAGTGCTTGTAATAATTAGAAAGCACTGTATTTTATGGACTTCATTTGCATAAAGGAATTAAAACTTGGGTCTTCTGCTTTTGGACAAACAAGCTAGTCATCCATTACTAAAACCAACATCTTCCCTGTATAAAATTTTTTATGCAACTTGAAGAGCAACTACATTTTGTAGCGTTCCAGATTGTTCCAATTGCAGCTCCTAGACTGAAGTGCAGCTGCAGAAGACTGGCTTCCCCACACACAGCTATAGGTCCTTTGATACTCTCCTCCAATTTCAGAACACAGATAATCCCATACAAACCTTTGATGAAGGAAAGGACTGAGAGTAGCAGCAGCAGGGCTGTTTTGATGCTCTGATTCCAGAAATTAGGTAAACTAATAAAATGAACCCTTAATGAAGGAAACAGTGTCCAACTGAATCATTCTTCACAGCTTGTTCCTACATTCAGTAGTTTGGAGAAAAGGTTTCTTGTAGTTTGTACCACTCTGTTCAAACAATGACTCTCCCCTCCCCAGCAGATTCCGGAGATTAAATACGCACAGTCTTCAGACAGATGCACATGAGGCGTTATTTGCAGTCTTCCAATATGGCTCCTTAATAGAAATGCAAAGACCTGTCACACAGCAGCATTTAATAAGTCATTTGCTACTAGATGAAATGTTGTCATTGAGTGATGCAATTGTCCCCCATATCCTGAGCATAACGGTCCGACATTATAGTCCTTAATTCATCAATATCTTTTCGTAACTGACAAACGTCCAAAAGCTTCTTTGAAAGGGTTTCTGTGCTGTGGTAATTTTCATTCTCTTCAGCTGAACAGCTCAGTGCTACGAGAAACAACACCCAAGGTTAAAGCTCTAGCAACTGTACTCTGTGAACGCTTCAACTAGTCAGTCCCCTTTGACATAAGGGGTAGGCCACTTTAATTACATCAAGACAAACCGGGCTTTAGTATGATGAAAAGCCAACAAAACATGGTACCATGTGAACTTGTAAGTCAATTCAGAGCCCATCAGTGCTCCTCTGAAAAGCACGCTTTTCTGAAGTCTGATGGATCTCAACAGCACTGAAAAAAATGGGTAGAACTGCCATTTCATAGAAATTTTGGAAGTTACTAAGGCCGGTTAGAAAAGAAGGATATGAGGGCTTCGGAAATGAGACCATGTAAGAGGAAGACAGTACTACAAGCATGTTGCAAACTATTCATCCTGCTGGCTGACAATGGCTTCAGGGACTTTGAGATGGGCATATGCTGTACTCCTCAGTACTTTAAGGGGCTACAGTGCAGATGTATGAGTCTATGTGGTATATAGTAGTTCTTGTGGCAGAGGACACTGTACTTTTACATTTCTACCTTGCTGATAGATTCACTGCTGAACTGGACCATCTTATTAATTCTAATTAACATTCAGAAACAATAGAATATGATATGTTAAGGTTGACACCATGTAATTGTCTATTGAGCTTGTTAAAAGAAAAGACCTAACAAAGTCACTATGCTGAAGCTTTGTCTGACTGGCGTGCTTCTCATTTCCTTGGTTAAGTTTAACAGCTTAGTAAGTGCTGAATACAAGATGTGCCATTAATAGTACTGGAGGTGAAGCTGCCTGGCGCTAAACTTATCTAACACACAGACAACCCCTACCCCAAACTAGACAGGAACATGTTCCAACAGTGGAGGTATATTCCTACCACTTGACCCCAAAGGCTTGGAAAAAAAAACAACCCACATGATATAGCCACAACAGGCCTCCTTATGCTTCACCTCGCTCATAAAGAGTTGATAGAGCAGAACGCATTTGACAAAAAAGCATCCATTAGCCCTCAGGGTGACTGCAGTGTGTCTCAGGACGGAGGGATGGACACTTGCCCACATGACATTCTTTTCTAGGGGGTGAAGATATCCATGACTGGGCCATATAAAGAGCCAGCTACCAGCTCTCCTGACTTGGCAAGGACCTCTGTAGCCATATGCATTTAATGGCCCAGGTACCCTACAAGCCCAGCTTTTCTAGAGTGCTCCAGGCATACAGTTCAACAACCAGCTGCTCCAGTTGCATTAAAGGGGGACCCTGGCCTGTCCAGCTGGCAAGTTCAAGCGCTACTCAGCTAAACAGTTACTCTTTTGCGTCAAAACACTATTAAGCATCGGAATGCCAACATCACTTACATCTGATTCCCAGCAGTAAGGAAAGGTTAGGCTCCTTGCCCTGAGCTCTCTGGGTAAGAATACTGCACAGCGCTTTCAAGTCAAACAAGCAATTGGACATTTCCTTGAACAACTGGTCTGCAATAGGCATCTTCTCAGATACTGGTTGCCTGGACTGCTCTATCTGCCGCACCTGCTCCTTCAGGCAGGTGTTTTCTTCCATCAGTCTTTGGTTCTTCATGAAAAGTGAATGGGAAAAAGGGGAAAGTTAGTATGCACCATAAGTTTTCTGTTCCAAACCACACAAAACATAATTAAAAATATTTAATTTCTATGCATGTAAGCCATATTTCTGTACCCCTTCAAAGAATGGCAGATAGGCAGCTTTTACATGGCTATTTCAAGTTACCATTGCTTGAAATTCTCACTTCTTAAGGTTACATCTTCATGGTAGACACTACAGCACAGTTAAGTATATAATTAAGCTCATAAAGCCTTACCATGGGATTTTATAACCATTATACAAC